TAACGAATATGATTATTCTCACTGATAAGGCAGGAACACTAGGCTTCCTGGAAATCACGTAAGAAATTACTCGTTCTGTCAATTGTATTGTGAAACTGACCCTCGTGAAAACGTATTTCCTGTACCAATGCATATAATTAATTAAGTAGAGAATTTCTTAAAAACTAATATTTGGATATTTACAGAATAAGATACTAGAATAGCAGAAAGACTGATCACACTAGGCTTCCTGGAAATCACGTAAGAAATTACTCGTTCTGTCAATTGTATTGTGAAACTGACCCTCGTGAAAACGTATTTCCTGTACCAATGCATATAATTAATTAAGTAGAGAATTTCTTAAAAACTAATATTTGGATATTTACAGAATAAGATACTAGAATAGCAGAAAGACTGTTCACACTAGGCTTCCTGGAAATCACGTAAGAAATTACTCGTTCTGTCAATTGTATTGTGAAACTGACCCTCGTGAAAACGTATTTCCTGTACCAATGCATATAATTAATTAAGTAGAGAATTTCTTAAAAACTAATATTTGGATATTTACAGAAAAAGATACTAGAACAGAAGAAAGACAGCTTTTCTATATGACCAATAAAATAATTTTCTTCTATTGCTCATGTGGAAAAGCTGTGGTAAAAAAAGAATATCAAAAATATCTACGCGAAGAAACATCACATGAAAGGAAATTTTGGAAAATGCAGAAAAACGGAACATTTTAACAATGTGCTGGAAAGAAAATGTGGATTACGTTTGAAGAGATTTCCATTTATTAAAAAGAATTTGGCCGTAGAGCTACAAAAGCAGCCACAGTATGATCTAAAATATGCACTCCTAATACCGAGAAATATCTTAGCAACGTACTCCTTGTTTACGTGAGTAGAATCATGGATGTGCAAATAAATAAGTTAATCAAAGTATCAACGCAAATTTACAGTTTTGTTTTGTCAGGTCCAATTTCACGTTCCTTAGGACCACCCTCCCTTATTGGACGAATCAAATTAAAAATTGAGACACGAGACCGTATCATATCAATTTAAAACTGTGTGAATAATAATTTGAAGCTACTAGAGGTAAAGCGATCAGTGGTTCCGATTATTTAAAAGTAAAAATTCTTATTTAGTTAGTACCTCGAAAAGCTGCTTATATATCTGATTGCTAATCGTCTAAACGCCTTTTTTTTTTTTTTTTTTTTTTTTCTATTTATTATGAAATTATACCATACATATTACTTATGATCCAACGATCTATTTTTAAACTTGCACTCTACGATTGCATGACAAAATGAAGTTTATCTTCCAGGATTAACATACTTGTAAACAGTTTAAATAGATTGTTTTGTTTTCTAGCTGTAGTCTGAAGCTTGAAATGCCAGAAAAACTGACAGAAATTTTGCATATTTGTTACATACAGAATAACATTAATCATTTACATTGCAACGTTGTTCAAATGAAAGAAATATATATATAGACATATCAACAGAAAAGTCACTTGCAAATAAGAAATTCTCTTGCGCAATTTTGTTTTTATATCTGTTCATTCTTACTGAGGAACTGCAAATAATGGTAAAAGAAAAGTGAGAAAGACATGTACTACTAATTTAATCTAATAATTAAATTACCGCCATACATCAAAAGAGCAAGGCTTCAAAGAATTTGTAAATAATTAAACTGCAAAGCATTTGGAGAAATTCAATATTAAATTTCTGTCATTTAGAGTACGAATAGGGCGCACCGGCTCTTGAAGCCTGAATTTTACAGTTATTCAAAACGTAATATTCAAATATTATTTGAGTACTAGCTATAGAGTAGCTGGTGATAAAGTTAGATTATTATTTATCTACTTAGTTAACCATGTAGATGGGTTGAATAATTCAATAACTCAAGCAGCAAATTTATAAACTTAATATATTTGTAGACGTCTATATACTGCTTTTTAAGAAACTACTGGAATTTCGCTGCATTATAATAGAAATATTTATCAAAGTACATGAATGATTTTAAAAATTTTTTATTATGAATCATGAAAAAAAACTCTGTGCTTTCAATCAATAGTATTTTAAATACACTTATATAGGGATGTCCTTATTTTTATGTTATACATTTTCTATTTGAATAAACAGCATGCAGGAAGCGTTTAGGAAAATAAATTTCGTTTTTCAAATTTTCTTTTGTTTTATAATTCCATATGTAATACTTTTCTAAGCATATAAAGAGGGCATTTTTAATTAATAGACATATGTTCCAAGAATTATCTTTTTAGCAAATTGAAGGAAAATGTAAATATGAGGGTAAAATAAGAAAAATTTAATTAAATATATGAGTAAATGTAAATATATGAGTTTTTTTTACATCGCCAATCAAAAGTTATCAATCTGAAGACAGACATTAAAACGCCCTATGTGAAAGCATTACAAAAGACATTTACGAACTCTTATTTTACTTCTATCTCCTTCTGATGTAATTTAACTATATAAGTTATTTATTTATTTATAATTAATGTAAATACGCAGCATTAAATTGAAATCATTCTTCAGTGAAGATGTTGCATTGATAACAGTAAAGTCAAATCTCATTTTAACTTATATTTATAAAAGTCTGAAAAATATTATACATTTTAGTTTGTTCTAATATTTTAACACGGCACGTACGTATTTTAAAGAATACACATATACAGAAAAATTGCGTTTATAATAAAGATAAAATTTTTAAAATTGGTCGTGTGATAAGCTATTAAATACTTTGTTATACTATATTACACCCATTAATACGAATGCTTAGTTCTCTTATTTAAATTATGATTCAAATTCTCAATGAATTCAGCTTGAAAATAATAAAAAAAATATTCTTTGAAAGAATTACATAACTAATGGAAAGTATCTCATTTTAAAAGATAAATATTGATTAATTCATATTATAAAACTGATTGGTTTAAAATAAATATGAAGCATATGTAAAATATAGAAATTATACATATTTTGAAGGCTGTAATGTTTGCAAATTGAAATTATAATCATCTGTGCTTTAATTCGCAAATGGGAATATATCTTGAACGCAGTAGTGATATCATGCTTAATGATTCAAGGAAAAGAAGTCAGTTCAGTATATTTTCCAAATACAACAAACACTGTTAGCTATACAGTGCGTAAGGAAGTAACATGCTGAATCACGAAAAACAAACTGGAGACATTTTTTTCCCTGTTTCTTTGCATACCTTCACCGTAGAGTGTCATACCACTAAACCTGCTCACCACATTTTTTATTCATTTTAAACACACAAAATCTCTTTACGCACTACAAATTAAATTAAATAACATGCTGAATCACGAAAAACAAACTGGAGACAATTTTTCCGTAGGTGGCCCTGTTTGTGCCTTCATTTACATTCCTTCAACGTAGAGTGTCATACCGCTAAATTGCTCACCACATTTTTTATTTATTTTAAACACACAAAATCTCTTCACGCACTACAAATTTATACGTGGTTTACAAACGTGAGTTAGCTGAAACATTAAAAATTGCATGCATACTTACGGACGACTGTTACGAAAATTTGAAACGATATCATCCGAAACGCTGAGTAGATTGATTTGCAGGCTCAAAATTACTTGGACCTTAAAACAAAGATGTTTTCTTAAAACGGTTCGTATGGATTGTACTTTTACATATTTGTCTTAGCGCAGGAAATATTGAGTATCAAGAAGAATGTTACATATTACAGCAAGAGATGCTGGTGAACAGAGTGAGACACTGTCTTGAACTCCAGAGTTGCTTTTAAAATTGGGCATAGATTTGTTTGCCTTTCACGATAAAGTGCCGCTAATTACAACGGTGCATAGATTCATAAATGGTATAAGATCGTCTTGTCGAAAGAATTCTGCTTCTTCATGCGAGATCGCGATGAAAATTACGTGTTCAATGCTACTGCAGGAAATGCTTTTTATAATATTGTCTTAAGCATCAATACCATATTGACCTGAAAACCAAGATTTATGGTAACAGATGCTATTTGAAATAAGTGCCGCTCGCGTTTTGCAGGCCCATTGAACACTCTGAGTAGTCAATTGTGCTTTGCATACGAGTCTACATTTGGAACATTTCCATGTTTAGGAGCCTACTGTAGAACCACAATAAAGCAGGGCAACATGTTATCAAATGCCGCTTGAGCACACTATGTTTCATGCAATTTACTGTCCGGCCTTAGTTCGCGAGTTTACCAAAGCTTTCTGTATTTGGGTATGATAAATATATGGAGGCACACACACTGGCTCCTCCTTGTACACAAACTGAGCTTACAAAACTGTGACAACAAATTACTAGGGTCATTGGATAATTTTGCAACAGGAGATGTGAAAAATGTGCAACGCCCTCGCCGGAACTGGAACTTGGACCTCTCGAATACGCGCTAAGTGTGCTACAGTTACACCATACTGGAAGAAAGGCTGGAAGAAAGAAGGCATACTGGAAGAGAGGGAGGGGAAAAACATTTGCCAAATCCTGGTGATGACGAATTAAATGTCCACCACGTTTTTAGTTCAGACGCCTCTTGTAGATTTATGAGGTTATTTTGAAGCAGAAGACGTGAAAAATGCGCATTGCTGTCGCCCGGATTCGAACCATGGACCTCTCGAAAACGCGTCGAGTATGCTTCCATTTACACGATATACAGGCATGCGAAAAGGAAGCAGAAAATACCTTATACGCTAAGTGGACTTTAATATTTTAAAATTCTCCTCGAAACTACATGACCCTTCCATTCTATATACTCGACGAATAGAAGCATAATTGTTACCCGTGGCGACCATATTCGGTCGTGATCACTGACCATTCCCATTGGCCAATCTATTGAATTCTTTACCTAAGGAATCTATAAAATAAACTTGGTCGTGTTATCCATTAATTATGTTGATATTGCCTTTAAGGCCAACTGTATACTATTTAATTTTGCAAGATATAGACACATTATTAAATCCTCATTTCTTTTTCTACTTTTTGTTTCAGAAACCAAGCCTTGGTAATACTCTAAGGCCTTTCTTATCTCCTGCCTGCCATCAGTAACAGAAGGTACTGTAATTTCTTTTATTTATATTAGGGCCTAAAATGTATTATTTAATGTAAAGCACTTAAAAATATAAGTTATCAAATCAAATATTCAGAGAACTTTCCAGAGGGATTTATAAAGTGATATTATCTCTCTCTCTCTCTATATATATATATGTAATAATAAAATTCCATAGTCAAGAATACACTTAAAATTCTAACTGTATGTTCTTTTCATTTTTAATTCTTTTATTTGAAAGTACGTGGAATTAAATACACAGCCCCGTAGTCAAGTTGTTTTTCCCGCCTTTTCTACATGTACAGTTATAGAATGTTCTCGAGATATTTAAAGCGAACTGGATTGGCTGACGAGACTGACGTCATTTTTTGGAAGCTCCGCCTTTCCAGAGGCTATAAAAGGTTTCGCAAAAGGAATATTGGGAGCTTTTTTCTTAAATGTCAAGATGCAGTAAACTTCATACAAAAAAGTAATTCTTTTTATTTACTCCGGATATCTGATTTTTGTAACTGCTATTTCTATTGAATAATAATAAATGGATTCTGTTTTTTAAAACTATCGTCTGATTATTTAAGCTACGACTAAATTTATGATTCTTCAACAATCTATTTATTCTTGACTAAAGCTGATACATCACATATATATATATATATATATATATATTGTATGTGTGTATAACTCATGTATGTATATATGTGCGTGTTTATAAATAGTGTATATGCTAAACTCGAATAGCACTTTATCGGCTTATCATCCAAAGATTACATTAAAAACAAGTTAGCATTCTTTTCATATAACCTTTTATTTTTATCGAAATTTAAGTGAAACAATAACCGATTAAATTTGCTGATGACTGATAGTTTAACACATATTCACGTCCTGATATGCAAGCTGACGACATGTGTGTTTTCTTGCCTTTTCTGGTGTTTAACGTAAATGCGTGTCAAGTTCTTTCAGAAATAATTGCGAGGTGACATTCCATTCTTTAGGTACCTAGATGTCACGTATTTTATCGTAATCAAAGTAATCTAGTCGAAAGGAATTTCAGAAAAGCAACAAATTTTTATTTTTTACTTGAATTAAACAAAATTCACAGAAGGTTTTTGGGTCTTAATTCTCAAATAAATAAATGTTGTCAGATTTCAAGTTTGTTAAATTTATCGTAAAAAGCTTTCGCCTTTAACAAAAGATTTCTTGTTTTCCATACTTCTGAAGCTAGCGATTATTTACACTCACACATTCCCTCTTTTCACGAAAAACTGAAGAAAATAGTAGCAACCATGTTTATACATCCATCATAAGATGCAATTCGATTAGATCATTGTTCACTCTGCAAATATATATAAATTCACATTCTCCCCTCATCTATCATGGCGAATCTCTTTTTTGTGCGATAGAGAAGATATATTTAAGATTCTAAATTTGCTGAAGATTTCGTCATGTGATTAGATATTTAACTACGACCATTCTGAAATATTTAGATTACTGAAGATTAATGAGATGAAACCGAAAAATGACTCTTTTAAGCCTATTCGGAAAAAAAATCCATTTTTTACATTTTCCATATTGTTACGTTTCTTTATTCTTCTTGACACCTGTTGTTACGTTATTTTCTTCCTTCACGTTCGTACGGTTTCGTAGATTTGGAATGAATAACGACGACACTTGATGAAGTATCGAAACACACTTCATTAGCCAGTACTGTCAGGACAGCTCCAAAACACGTTTTACAGTCGTCGATAAACTACTATAAACACGCTGACACGATCAGCGATACAGCCTTCAGGTTATCAGGCTATTACGGTGGAGACAGCTTCCTGCAAAGCACCCGACTCTGCTTTCCGGAGTACAGCTCCCGACTCTGCTTGGTCGTTCTTGGAACTCCACGTATTCTCGAGACTCTCCACGCTACAACTCGCGATGCACTCGACAACACACGAGCACAGTTCCCAACTCTTCGGTTCAGTCGTTCCCAGAGCTCAACACCCTCTCTCGAAGATGCACTAACCGCGATACACTAATAGACTCCTTCGGTGCGCTCCACGACCCACTCGGCACTCGCTGGCCGGCTGTCAACTCTATTGTCTCCGCATAGGACTGACTAGCTAGACACTCTACGAGTCACACACAACACGTAAACTGACTACTGGTACCAGCAGGGTTTATATAGCTTTCGGCTTACGTTCGAGAACATTCTGTGCTAAACCGGTAAGAATTCGTTCCAGAAGATTCACCAACCGTCCATAGTATACCTCCCATTTTGTCGCCAAATGGAGGATTTCTCGCCAAATATGGCAACCCTGCCTTCCCTTGCCATTTTATGGCAACCCTAAAACTGCTTTGCGAGGAAGCTATCTTACCGCGTCTGTACATTTCGTAACAATATGTTTATCGCAAAATTTGACAATATATTCTCTCATTTCCTACACCAGGGCGATTCTCAATTTTCTTACGCTACACCCTTTCCACTACTATTAGAATTTCATTTCTCCCCTCCTTTATAAAACATTGAAAGGACATATGCATTTATTAAGATTTAAATCTTAATCTATGTTTTATTAATAAAGCAACAAAAGGTAGAGACCAAAGTAGAGAATAAGAAGTAGAAAGTACGTAACAAAACTAGAATTAAAGTAGAATTTTTATATTCATAACCTAAAACTAAATACACTGAACAGCTAAATAAGAGGTTGGCCGCATTCCCTACCTGAAGATATGGAATTTGCCTTCCCCCCCTCTAGGGAGAACCGCTGAACTTATACTGTTAAATATATGCATCCGTGAAGCTTTCCTTATAAATTTCTGTGGAAGTAATCACTCCCCGTATTTAATGCTGTGGCTTTATGTCAGTTGGCAGAGTAAAATGCAAATCATATGTAGCTTACATTTGGTTCCACAAATATTTCGAAAGAGGGTAACTAATAAAGGACAATATGTGCCGTATAAATATGTAATATATAAATCATGAAAGACCCTTCATTGGCAATAGACCTTTAAATTTACAATTTAAATGGTAAATTAAACCCCTTTCACATCTGCAATGACGCAGCTTTTCTTTCCCTGCAGAGATCCGCATCGCTGTGAGCTTTTGTCCAATCATCATTTAGAACTCACACAAAGAATTTCCAAGTATAAATGTTCTAGGTACATTCTACGCATCATGTTTCCTGCCTGACTCAAAAAAATAAATAAATAAATAAATAAATAAATAAATAAATAAATAAATTAAAAAAAATAAAAAGATATTCGCTGCTTAGCAGTAACCTGTGAGGATGCAGACTGCATATCTTTTACTTCATGATGTCTGCAAATGATGCCTTCAAAGAACTGAACGTGAACATTACAACTTAACAAAGAAAACTATTAAGTATTTAAAACGTAGCTACGTATTTCCATTTTCTGTGAGTTGCACATGAGACTTGCGAAAAAAATTTCATGTAAGTGGCAATCCAAGCATAACGAATGATAAACATGGCAAGTAGGATTTTCTTCGGTATGTTCAAAAATAAAAATCTTGTTAATTTTACAAAAATTGAGAACAATATACTTTTTTTAGATTTATGATTTTTATTTTATTCTGTTATGAAATATTTGTAATATATTTAAAATAGGGTAATTGCCTAAATATAAATAAGATACTCCTGCGTAAATTTCAGTGATCGCTGACGGCTAATTTCCATAAATTTATGATACATAGTACTAACTTTCAACGTACTTTGTCAATTAAATTTGTTCCTGAATTTTCTAAGTATTTGAGAGGCTACCGTCTCTCGTAACAATTTTATGAACCTCGCTAATACTAAAATATACATACTTAAAGCCATAAAATTTGATGTCGTTCTGCCTAAGTAAGGAATGTCATGCTATCCTATTTATTAAGGATTAACATTTTAATCCCGAGGCAAGCAAATTTCTGTAACCAAAAGAACAGAGATATTTTGACTCTTCCAATAGATACCGTAATTCGGTCAGTAAAGTTTAGCAGGCATTGTTTTATAGCTCCTTCCGAGATTCATATGATAAAAATTGAAAATAAATTTAGCTACACTTCCGCCATTGTCTTAATGTTGTACTACTTCTAAAATTGCAAAATATGTTAAATGTCAAAAGTATGTTATAATTCTGTAAAATCCCCCTTTGAAATGACTCTATTCACCATTTTTCGAGACTTTTTTTTTTCTTTGCAACGGAAGGACTTGAGGATTTTGTAACATGTGACTCAGAAAGCCTGTTATAAGGGGCCTTTGGAGACGAGCCGAACGAAGGAATTAAGAATTTAGAACAGGACCACTGGCATGCCGTGTTTGAGTTTTTAGTAGGAAATACAGTACTTGTGCTTAGTGTAAAAAAATTTTATAGTTTTATTTTGTAGAAGAAATGCACAATTGAAATGAATAAAAGTCTTCTAAAGTCATTAAATTACATCGATCTTGGAACGTGAAAAATGTGCGTTCTCCTTGTCGGGACTCGAACTCCAGACCTCCTACCCACTATCGGAGTGTGCTTCCGGTTACGCCACGAAAGCATGCCGAAAGAAAGGAGAAAATACCTTATACTCCCGTTTTTAAATGGAGGGATATTTTTAAAGGGAGGGACCTTATATATTCTCCTTTTAAAGGGCAATTGTAGGTGAGGATACCCAGACGCGAAATCCCGGTGGTGATGAACCGTCTTTCATCACATTTGTCTTAGTTCATTAGGTTACTTTGAAGGAGGAGACATGAAAAAAGAAGCAATGCCCCTACCCGGTACTAGAACCCTGGACACCTCGAATAGGCGTAGAGATTGCTTCCAGTTACATGGCGAAGACATAGGCGTAGAGATTGCTTCTAGTTACATGACGAAGACATAGGCGTAGAGGTTGCTTCCAGTTACATGACGAAGGCATGTAGAAAGAAGGGCGAAAATACTTATAACTCTAATTAAGTTTATAAATGTTTAAGAAAAATTCAACTTATAAATTAGTCGTGTCGCTTACTCTTCATAGGTATTTGTAGTTTCTGAA